TAGCTGAATAAATATGTTGAATGTAGTCACTGGATGGAAGTTACAGTACAAGTATATGCAATTGTTTGTCTAATGGACAAAAGTACTTGAGGCAGGAGTGTGACAGCAGATAGTTTGTATGCAAAAAAAGCCAGTATATCCATGTTTTTCATGTTCAGTGTGCATGTATGAATGGATAATTAAAAAAGAGGGAAATACTCAATTAAGGGACGTTTGTGGACAGGAGTTGGTGGTGCTTTTATTTTGAAAGGGTCGCTTTGTCGACATCAGCACACGTTGCAAAATGCCGCCTGTTTTTAACATCTGAAGGTGTGAAAAATCGACAAGTTGATTTTTTGCATGTGAAAAATCGACGTGTTGATTTTTTACATCTGAAGGTGTGCAAATTTGACGTCTCTGGCCGTTAATATTTGACTTCTTTAGGCATAAAGTTTTAAGACGTTTTGGCCCCGTTGGCCTTCCATATTCCCCTACGTTTCATGTCTACTGTAAACAATGGCGGACTCTGACGTACTGCGACAGCCTGCAAAGAGATTCACTTTTCAAAAACAAGAGAAGCAGTACCACGAACACTGTTGTGTCCTGGAGTGCACTGTGTCTTCAACTTATAGCGCTGGCCTCAGTTTTCATGCTTTTCCACAAGACGAAGCCCAGAGGAGACGATGGCTAGTGCTAATTTGGCGGGATCACTTTGTTGTGACTTCACACAGCAAGGTGTGCAGCCGTCACTTTCTCCCTGGGGACATGTCTGAGGCAAAGTCAGAAGGTGGGAGGAGACGTTTGAAGAGGGGAGCTGTCCCAGTGTTGTTTAAATGGAACAACTTCAAAATCCCCCCACCGAGACCCAGTGTGTGGGACCGTATTGACAGACCGGAGCCCTTTGACGAGCCCTCTGATGAACAGTCTATGGAGTGTGCTGCTGTTGTGGTGGACCACGATTATTGTTCTGTCCCAGAACCTGCTGCTACAGACATGGCAGCGACTGAAATCCTGTAGCTAAAAGAACAAATTAGGTTGATGAATATAGAGATGGGGGAACTCAAAATCCAGGCCACTTTTGGTTTACAAAGATTCGCGGGATCTGACGAGGACATTCGTTTCTACACAAGGCAAGTTCAAATGCTACTAAACTTGATTTTAACGTATGCTAGCTGCAGTAGAACTAGGCCATCTGTAATTAAAATACTTATTCCTTCTTATTCCTATAAGTGTGAGGGTAAGGTGGGGAGATGGAAAGGCACACATACAGTATGTGCAACACACCTGTGATTCACCTGGGAGTAAGAGCTGTACCTATCTCCTAATTTATCCTCCACCCCCCCCCAATATACCTTACCTGTCATGTACTGCAGTATTGTTCACACACACAACTTACCTTTGACTCACCTGTGAAGAGCTGCAGCTACACCTACTGATAGTGAGACACTGAAAGACAAAATGTAAATGTTATTTGTAATTGTCTTGTTTTAAATCATTTGGTCTTCTCTGTGTTTTCATAGATTTGCCAGTTATCGTCATTTAATGATTTTTTGGAGTCTCATCGAGCCATCATTGCCCCTAATGATTCGGACATCAAGAGCCAAAGCTGCTGAGAGGAAAAATGAAACCATCTCCGTGGTCCATCCTGCACATACGGTTTGTACTTGTGTTATTGTTGCATATAGTTCTTCTACAAGCTCAGGCAACATTCTGCATTGCTCTAACACATTATCTCCCTCCACAGTCATTACAATCCATAGATGAGTTCTTCCTCTTCTTAATGTATCTGGCAGCTGGCCTAAAGGAGAGGGACCTGGCAAACAGGTTTTCAGTGCACCAGTCCACTGGTAGCCGAATAATATCTACATGGGCAAATTATCTCTACACCCTTCTGGGCTCGGTGGGCATCTGGATGGAGAAGGAAGACGTGCAAGCCAATCTCCCTGAAGTGTTCCAGGACTTCTCCGACACCCAGGTCATTGTGGACTGTACTGAGCTGAGATGTCAGACGCCATCATCCCTGCTCCTACAGAGTGAGATGTATTCAAATTACAAGTCTCACTGCACCATGAAGGGACTGATTGGGATGGCCCCCCATGGTGCAATAACCTTTGTGTCTCCCTTTTATGAGGGGTCTGTTAGTGACAAAGAACTCTTCAGACGTTCAGGCTTACCAGACCTACTCACGGATGACATGGTCATCATGGTTGACAAGGGATTTTTGATCTCAGATGTGGTGAAGTGCAAAGTTTACCGTCCCCCTTTTCTACAAAAAAGGAGACAGATGCCTGCCCAGAGTGTCCTCCAGACACAAAAGGTAGCACGTCTAAGAGTGCACGTTGAAAGGGTGATTAGGAGAGTGAAGGATTCAAGATTCAAGATCTTTATTTGTCACATGTGTAGTCATACAAGTACAACAACACAGTGAAATGTACCCTGAGCCGCTCCTTGACTGTGCAAACATTAACAAAAGTAAAAATAAGTAAAAATAAGTAAAGAAATGAGTGCAATAGAATAAGTATAACTGTATAAATGTAAGGGCAGTGCATAGTTTTAAAGTGCATTGTGCTATAATAGCACCGCAATATAAAAACAGTGTGCATATAAAGTCCTGTTTCAATTAAGGAATGCTATGAGGGGAGTGGGGGCATGGTCTGATTTAGGACTCGGATGGCCTGAGGATAGAAGCTTCTCTTGAGTCTCTCTGTTTTTGCCCTGATAGTGCGGAACCTTCTGCCTGATTGCAGGAGTTGAAATAGTCCGTTACTGGGATGGGACGAGTCCTTCAATGTTCGGACTGCTCTGGACCAACAAGCTTTGCAGTTCCATCATCCCACTATCAATCAATGGTAACATAAATGAACTTTTCTCTGTCGCATGCCTGCTTGTAAATTACCAAAACAAACCTCTTGTCGGGGCATGGGTTAAGTGAATTGCTCAAGTTAAAATGTTTCAATATCCATTAAATAAATACCTAACAACCATATATCTTTATAAAATTCGTACATTTATTACATGTTGCTTATTGCTTTTTTTCTTAATGGATCATTAGGAATGCACGTTCCGTGTCATTGACAGGTACTTCTGCATAAATACATGAAAGTAAAATTGATCACACTTATCGAATTAAGTCTTGAACTTCTTTGTCCACATATAAACGATGTACAAAAAAATCATCTTCAGCCCAAACAAAAAAGTCACACCATGTTAGCCCGGTCAAGAGAAGTTGTCCTTGGACATTCCACATAACTTTTTATATTGGGACACTTGATTTCAACTAAACCAAATGATGGGGTAACAGTGGGGTCATAGACCAGTCCATCCGGAGACGTGCCTAGCCATGGTACTTGTGGATGGATCACCAGGCCACAAGGTGAAAAATTGACACGTGTATACAGTATTTCACATACTCTTTAGCAGCCTCAAACTCCATCTCTGCTCCCCTTCTCATATCTGCAGTCTGCCTGGTGCCACGAATCATCCTCTCAGCCAGAGACTCTGAGGTACTTTGGCCACGCACATGACACACTTCACGAAACCTTGATGATGTTATTCTGGTTTTTCGTAGCATATGCCATTCTGGAACTGTTCTTTGGTCACGTGTGGATGCCTCAATTTTATGTGCCATATCAATGGACACAGTCAAGCTTCGCAGATGCAACTGTTCCTCTTCTGTGCACACCCACATGCACTCCGTTGGCGCAAGGTTGTGGGTCTCCAGGGGAAGGCTGGGATAGGGTGGGGCGTTGAGGTGTATCACAATGTTTCTGGAGTGGAGTTTGGGCTGCTGATAAAGGATACTCCCTCTCTGCACCAGTCTGAACTCTGACTCTACAAGTGGTTTGTTTGCACTCATACCCATAGTAGTCACCAATGGCCTATCTAGGGGATCCAGTTCACTGTACGCCTCTGCCACCCGCAGCACAGACAGGTCAGGAAGCGGCCCGAGCATTCCTCTTGTCAGGGTACTCCTTTGAATAAAGCATATTAAAAAATGTATGAATATGTGGAACTACACTGATGTACTGTACATGACAGGCAAGGTATACAGGTAAGTGTGTGTGTGTGTGTGTGTGTGTGTGTGTGTGTAGCACTAACAGAGCCAATAAGTCTGGAGATGCAGCTCTCTTTCACAGGTGAGTCAAAGGTGAGTTGCATGTATAGATGGATAGATACTTAATCCCCACGAAGGTTTGGAAACGACACTGCTGTACAAAAAATGTATAATGTGATGTAATTAAGTGTCTGAAAAAATGTACAATGTAATGCAATTAAGCATTAATTTACCGTAAGCCGCCTTCCCCCATCCGGCCTTGCACAGGCTTTGTGACAACCATCTTGCCAATTGGTCCTGGTTTTACACCCTGAGAAATAAAGTGTTGCCAGTCTTCATTGTAAAATTGGTCACCTTAATCATCTTTGTAACATGTGGGATTATGAAATTTACAGCAGTCCGAGGTTTGTGCCACTGTTGCTCCTCTTCAGTGCAGCTGTGAACTGGTGGAACCACCGGCACATTGAGCTGAGAGAAGTGAGCAGTCTGGTATAGAAGGGCAACTGTATGGTTGCACATTGCAGTCCCAGCCACACACGAGCAACTGCACCTCACCAAGACAACAGGCTTTGAACCTCTAAGAACGATCTGTTGACAGAAAATTTTCAGTTAGTACATAGAATTGGTAGCACATAACACATGCAATGAATGCAACAAAAACAGAGGCCATATGGAACTCAGTCATATTATGCAAATGTAGTGAAAACTTGGGCAACACAAAAAGAAAACAGGCCATATCATGGAAATGTTATGCAAACTTGGGCAATACTTTACAGTAGGTGTGCCTATTTCCCTCAACCTGATCACTGAACAAATCTCAAACCGTATCTGGTTAGTTCAATAGATAAGGAAGGTAAACAATTGTATCTATAAATCTAGCAAGTAATCATGTGAAATTGGCTAAGCGTAGTCTTTCCCTCACCAAAGCTTGGCCCAAGTTTAAACAAACCTCTCTGAACTGATCAGCTGAGCTCAAACATCTCAGTTGAACTTGAACCAATATACTACCATACTATACCCTACTTTCAGAGTATGAGGTTTTTCTGCCTTTATCATCGACCTGAAGCACAAAGCCCTCACGGATACCTCTCCTGACTGTTTGTCTTTGTTTGACACTTGAATTGCAAACAACAGATTATAGCAGAGAAGGCTACTTCAATACATGAAGAAACATAATATAACATACATTTAAACATGTTAAGTTACATGTCAAAATGTATCCTGACACGTTGTCACTGTTGTTACAGTAGTAGCTCACAGCTATTTTTACATTAAGCATGTTAGCCTACAACTAGCTAGCTAGCCGAGACGGTACAAAAAATATTACAAGACTCACCTTCGTAGTCATGTATGAACGATGATGCATACATTTTAAAACCCTTCACCCTTGCTGTTGGGAGTTGTGGATCCTGACCGGCACAATCGACGGACATCGTTAATATTTAAATTTGGCAGCTCGCTTGAGACACCTTGTATAAAACAGCGCCATTTCTTCTAAGCTCTGAACCGGAAGTAGCGTAACCGTATTATTTGTAATGGTGGTGAATGTCCTACAGGTGTGCATAGAGCCTATACAGAGGACTAATGACAACAACCAGAAACATCTGATCACATGGGGATCCCACACGAGGTTAACAAGGGGGTGTGGCACACGGAAGGAGCGGACGATCGGGGCAGGACAGGGGTAATGTTGGGATAAGATCTTTATCGTTTTGGAAGCCATTAAGAAAAAAGTGCTCTTCTTGTTTTATCCTGTTCATTTTGTGTTTAAATGCTAAAAAAAAAAAAAAAAAAAGATATTTAGATGTGTCACGTTCGGACGGGCGTGGCCTGTTTTCGGACGGGCGTGTTGCAGGTGCGTGTTGGGCTCCGCCAGGGCTGCCCTTTGTCATCGGTCCTATTCATCATATTTATGGACAGGATTTCTAGGCGCAGCCAAGGCGTTGAGGGTGTCCAGTTTGGTGACCTCAGGATTGCCTCGCTGCTTTTTGCAGACGATGTCGTCCTGTTGGCTTCATCTGCTGGGGATCTCCAGCAGGCACTGGGGCGGTTCGCAGCCGAGTGCGAAGCGGCAGGGATGAGGATTAGCACCTCCAAGTCCGAGACCATGGTTCTCAGCCGGAAATGGGTGGTTTGCCCTCTTCGGGTTGGGGAAGACGTACTGCCTCAAGTGGAGGAGTTCGGATATCCGGGAG